AAGATGAGCAAAACGAAAAGGAGGAGGAGGAAGAGGAGGAGCAGTCAGAGAAGGAGCAAAAGGTGACCTGGCGAGGAAGGGGAAGATGAGCCGCAACATGGGCATGATCAGTAGACCGCGACCCACCGATCCCAGCCAGCCGAGCCCGCGGCGTTGAGCTCATTATCATGAAGGTAGTGCTCAATGTCATCCACCTGTGCGCTCTCTGAGGCGCCCGGTCCGCCCTCGCGTCGACGTCGTCGTCGTCGTCCTCCTCCTCCTCCTCCCCCTACTCCTCCTCCTCCTCCTCCTCCTCCTCCTCTTCCTCCTCCTCCTCCTCCGCTCCGCTCCGCTCCTCGCCTCTCCTCTCCTCTTCGCCCTTCCCTTCCCCTCCCCTCCAACGCACCGCAGTCAGGCAGCCTCCAAACCCAGGTCGGAGGAATGAGAATAATGAGGAGGATGACGGGACATGTGAGAAGGATAGCGAGGAGGAGGCGGAGCGAGAAAGAGGAGGAGGAGGAGGAGGAGGAGGAGGAGGAGGAGGAACGACCAAGGTCCAGCATCGGAGCCGAGGCCGAACGCAGGCCAGGAGGAGAAGGGCCTCGATTCCCGTGACACGTACGAAGACGAGTCGCGGTCCTAGGCGCCCTCAACCGGCGGCAGCGCAGCGCGCCACCGCAAAAGGTGGCTGCCTATGCCCGCGGCTCCCGCCCTGCCAGGATCGCGTATCGCTCCCACGCCTTGGTCGCGGAGGCGGCACCGCGGCAGGGCTTGAGAAGAGATTGCCAGCAAAACGCTCCGATAGCAGAGCGAGCGCCGCAGCGGCGGCACAACAGGTAACGTCCAGCAGCTTGGACCCTGTGTCCACAATACTCGAACGTGTCTGGAGGCTCTGTCGGGCTATCCTCAGTTGGGGGGCCCGACCACAAGAAAACTTCCACAAGAAACTCAACCCTGAGACCCCCGGACGCCCATTGATTTTAATGTGGGAACGTCACGCTTTCCATCGCAAAACCATCGAAACCCAAGAAACACGGGGCACCCTGGAGGCAAGCAGGATGTTTCTTGGCATGCCTCCACTGCAATGTGTGCCAGGCTGCTCGAGCTTCACCCTGCTGAGGCGGTCTCTCGCCAAGCAGTGACACCACGTGCATCACACACACAAACACAAACACACAAACACACAAACTCACAAACTCACAATTACACAATTACACAACACACACACACACAAACACACACACGCACACGCACACGCACACGCACACGCACACGCACACGCACACGCACACGCACACACACACCACACCCTTCACCGCCTCCAAGCCGTGAGAGAGCAAAGCGAGCTGGGAAACAATGTTCCCCAACTCGCTTTGCGTTCTCACTCGCTTCGTCGTCGCGCGATCGCTGGAGTTCAACAAATCCACCCAGCCTTGCACCCGTAGGCGAGGAGGGCCTGAGGAACATGATCCCCGCATCCATTCCGATTTTTCTCCTCCATCCAAGACACATATAAACTCCACACTGCACATCCTCAACTTCCGTGCGATTCAAAGAGTCACCAGGCAAACTGGGAACACCCCACGACCCGACCTGCGATAGGCAAACTCAGGAGATGGACCGTGGCCTGAGAAAGAGAGAGAGAGAGAGACAGATAGAGCGCGAATGCACTAACAATAACGAATGTAATCAATTCAATGGCAGCCTCACCGTGCCCGTGAGGTGGACCCCGAGGTCCTGCCTTGGTGGGATAGGCCGCGCCAGCAGCAAACATTTACACTGATAACCCCACAGGCGACGGGGCTCAAACTTGTACCGACTGCGGCGGCACCTGTGGATTACCCTACAGGGTCAACGCCGGACCCCCCAAGAAAACCCAAATCGGGCCAACATCGGGCCCGGAGGAGCGGAGGGAAGAGGGAAAGAGGAGGACAGCACAGGGAGCATAACAGTACAATAGGAGGCAAAGGTCCCCGAAGCGGGGGGGCGAAACGAGTGTGTAGATCCGCTGTGATGCATGCTGGTGATGCTCACACTCGAAGGTCACCTTGAGTGGCTGGGCGACGAAACTGCACCAACTATCACGAAGCTGTATGTGGTTCGGCGGGACGCCTAACCCCACCGAGACAGCTGCAGCGGCTGCTTGTGCCAACAGCGACTCACTACAGAAGGAACGGCAAACTGACCCTGGCTTGCATGCAGCGCCGACGGCGCCAATTTGGCGACACGTGTGGCCACCAAGCGTACTCCAAAGCAGAATACCAATGACGACGGGCCGGCATCGACTGCAGGCCTCTGCTGCGGGCCAGCCGGCCTCCAGGTGAGCCCACACGCCGCCAGATGGGGAAGCACTCTCTGGGTGGCGGGGGGGCGGGAGGGTGGAGGAGGAGGAGGAGGAGGAGGAGGAGGAGGAGGAGGAGGAGCAGGAGGAGGAGGAGGAGGAGGAGCAAGGCAACGATCTACAAAACGGCGATGCGTGAAACAAGCTAATACGGGGAATGATGCAGGAACTCCCGGATAATCAATTTCAACGCGCTCACGCCGATGACCGGACTGACCTCCGCGGCATGCCAGGACCAGCAGTGGGTCAGATAGACGGTGGCCGTGACGAGCGCCCGGCGCTGCAACTCGAGGGCGGCGCCTTCCCTTCGCCATATGGCGACGACAACAGGAGAACCCGGAAAGCCGCTCCTCCTGGGAAGCTGGCCAGGGCAGGCCCACTTGACTGGCCACCACGGCCGCGACGCAGTGTCGACCGAATCCTCGCCAGTCGCGCACCCAAAGCAGCACCCAGCGCGCCCTTTGGAACCGCATGCTTGCGGTCGCTGTGGAACTCCACAGCGATCGCAAGCATGCGGCCAATTGGCCCGCTTCGAGCATTAATGCTCGAAGCGGGATCCTGCTCGCCACTGCGGGGCACGCGCGCAGGGCACGGTCGGCCATCACTTGCTCTGACAGATCGCGCTGGACGCCCAGCGGGGCAACCGGTGCCGCAAGAAACGCGCCAGGGGCGCGGCCCGGTCGGGCCCAGCCGAGCGCGCGTAAATTCGTTGCCACACCTTTTTCAATAGCGCCGGGTCCGAAGTGCCCGCTGCGAGCGCCACATCTCGCGGGCCCATGCCGCGCGTTGGAAGCAACTGTGCGCAACGCTCAGCTGCAGGAGGAAAGCGCCGTCGAACCAGCTGCTCCACCGCCCCAAGCGAGCCAGCGACGCCGAAGCGCACATGCGCATTAAGAGGAGCCTCGCCGCCAGCGCGGCCACGTGCAATCCTCCTTCCGCGGCTGCCTCCCGCTGGCAAACCCAATACTTGGCCGCCAGCGCAGTCGAATGAAGGTCTGGGGGGCGGGCCGGAAATCCCAGGAGGGGGGGGCCGTGCAGGGCTGCGGCTGGCGCCCACCGGCCAGGGCCGACGTAGAGGGACTGCAGCGCGGCGCACTCTAACCGCCTCCAGTTCGAAGGCGGCGTGTTCAACTGAACCAGGAAGCTCACGGTGGAGTACCCGATCGCGTTGGCCGACGCGTCAACGTCCCCGAGCGCGAGCCCCCTGAAGGAACTTGGCGCTGGCTGCCGCCCAGCCCCGTGCCCCTCGCTCTGGCCCGAGAAGGAAGCCCAGGTATTTGGCTCGGTGCGCGAATCGCAGCCCGCCCCGAAATTTCGCGCGGGCGGCCACCTCCTGCCGCGCGCCTTCTGGGCCCCCGATGCGGAGCGGGACCCAGACAATCTTGCCGACGTTGAGGCGGGGCCAGGACGAGGCAGCGCAGTCCCCAAATAGCGCCGCAGACTGCCCGCGCCAGCCGCCCCTCTTCTACCGCTGCCAGATCTGCCGCGCAGGCGCGGCGGAGAGCATCAGGGAGGGCCCCGCCGAGGCGCCAGAGAAGCAGGTCCGCCGCCACTGCAGAAAAGCGGGGGAAACGGGCAGCCATGGCGGATTGCAGCGGCCACGGGGGGGCCCGCGTACTCCATGCCGCCAATGACCAAGCGATGCCAGAGTCCGTGGGCACGCCCATCGAGAAGCCCTGGCCCGTGCTCGGGAATGCGGCAGCGAAGCCGAAGAAGACCGCCGCGCCGTCCTCGCCGGTGAGCGCCGCCGTTTGTATCCACTCATCCACGTCTATGAGGTTCGCTTACCTGGATCTTCCCCCCACGAAGCCCTCTGTTCTGGCGAGACCTCTGCTGCCGGGAGCGGCTCGAACCCGTGGCGGGCCGAAATTGCCAGCAGCCCGTTGTCTGCGCTCGCCGGGCTCAGCGGCTGCGCGTCTGGTGGCGCGAACTAACTGCAGGCCGCCGTCGGCGCCCGCCGCGGTGGGGGTCTTCGGCAGGATGACCGCCGGGGCGCCGGGGCTGGACAGCTGCTCGCGCGCGGAGAAAAGGACGTCAACTGCAAGTGGGCCGAGCCGCTTCCAGGCTGAGAATGGTAGGTCGTCTGGGCCAAGCACCGTGGAAGGCGCTTGTTCGATGGCATCTCGTGCGTCTCGCGGGCGCAGGTGCCATCTCGGGTCGGCCGCCGGCGGGGGCCTGCAGACCCCCGCGCGGCGCGCGCGCGCCGCCCATCGAGGGGCCATCTTCCGCGGAGGGCGCCGTCGAAGGGTTTAGCTCTGAAGACCTCGCCCCAGTGAGCGCGGCAGGCGCGGGCCATGCCATCGGGGTCGGCGAGCGCTTCGCCCGCTGCAATTTGAATTGCCGGGGTCGACCGGCGTCCAGCGCCAATTGCGACGCCGTCGCACGGCCGGCTTCCGGGCGCCCAAACCAGGGGGCCCCCTGAGAACCGCCGGAGTTACGCGACGGCGCGCCCTCGGGCAAGCTCGACGGCATGCCGGCGGACCGCCTGCGGGCGACCTGCCTGTCTCAGCTGCGGCGAGCAGGGGTTGTCGACGAGTTTGACATGCGCGGGGCATCGCTCTAGGCAATTGCTGATGCACCCAGAGTGCCCCCTCTTCTGTAGCCATGAGAAACTGCATGGCGATGCCCAGTTTGCCTTCCGCCGACTCGGCTGGGCGCCCTGGTGGTGCCCTCGCACGAGGCTCTCGGTCACCGACCTCGTGCAATCTTTTAGCAGCGAGAGTCTGCAAAGCGGCGTCTCCGTGGTCTCCGCCGCAGCGACCGCCTCGTGGTAGGCCAAGGTCGCCGGGTGCGCTTAATCCGCGTGCTGAACTGCCGCGGCCGGCTGAGGGCGGGGCGCGGCGCTCGCCCGGGAGGGCTGCCGGCGCTTGGCTG